TGGCGCTGGGCGCGGACGGCGCCACGTGCGCGGCGCGGCGGCCGTGCGCGGCGTGGGGCGCGTGCGCGCACGGCTGCGTGCCCACCAAGGCGGGCCACAAGTGCACGTGCGACGACGGGTACCGCCTCGCTGACGACGGCTTCAGCTGCAAGAGCACGGGTGAGACGAGCGAGAATAAATTGTTCATTCAGGTTCCATGAATAAATAACATAAGCCTATATATAGCAGGGTTATACGAATGACAGTAAATAAAGACCTTCAAACCTTCAAGAAAAGAGCGTAATCCTTTCTGAAAGGCCGGCAACGCACCTGTGACTCCTTTAATGTTTCGGGTATCCTTGGGCGACGCTGATCGCTTACCATCAGGTGATCCGTCGGCTTGTTTGCCTCCTATTTCTTAAAAGAAATATCTCCTATTTCTTAAAAAATAATAAAAGGGAGTTGTCTATTTAATCATGAAACTGAATGAGGGCGCCCCAGTCGTTCACATAGCAACCTGTACGCGACTGTAGTAATATTGATACTAGCGCACTATTTTACACTAGAAGTAAACTTGAAACACCGATAGCATTTTGACAAGAGAATGCAATCTCAAGGAAGCAGACAAGTATTAGATCTTTAATAAATTGCCGAGATGATCTATGTATACATATTATAGGACTAACCCGGTCGTTCGTTCAAAAGAAGACGTACTATGAAGATAATATTTATTGATTGTTCGTAACACCAGCAAAATCATATGAAACTGTTCGATACATTGTCCATCGAACGCGGTTTGCAAATGTAGCAACACAACCGTGTGCAGCCGAGTGCCGCGCCGCTTCACATGGTCGGCCAGCAAACCGGGTGCGGTCGTACTCATTACCATATCATTTAGCGTCATTTTACAGTTTTTAACTATAAATCATTGAAGTTATTTAAGTATTTGCTTTATTCTCGGAATCGGTACACTGCATCCAGGATGGTATGATGACTCACTCGCACATCGAACTTCTGATATAGATTAACCGCATGTGCAGTTATGGAGGTACACCCGCGGTAGCACTACACCATTTCAAGATATTGTTGATTTGAATTTCGTCGCCTGGGAGGCATTATTAGAAAGAAAGAAAGAAAAAGCATTTATTTGGCAAATGGCACACAAACAAAGATTATGAAAAATAAAAATACAGATACTTACATAAATACATAATACTGAACCATTCCTCTACTCTTCAGCAGAAGACCTTTGGATTAGAGAGATTTCGTAAAACTATACGTTTGTGCTGTTTATTTATGTAAACAAAACAACGGTTATTAAGTAGTCTTAAGTAGTGAAAATTTTGATATGCTCACCTATCAAATTTAAGTCTGTACTATACGTGAGGACTTGTAATTGGCTTTCAGTAGTTTATGTTGGCTTCTATTTTTATGTAGTTTTAGCTGTAAACCCTCCAGGGTGTAATAAATAAATAAATAATATTAATGACAGACTTAAAAGCGTAAAGAAAAGAACAAAAATCATCAAAATATAACTAAATAATATACATACAATACGAAACAATAAATAACAATACAATAAGTTTTTGATATAAAGATAAATAAAAAATACAAAAAAAAAATCAAAATATAAATAATATAATAGTAATATTGTAGTTTTACGTAGTTGTTGGGGTTGACTGGGCTACTAGCGGGCGGGCGGCGCGTGCGACGAGTTCTGTTCTGTCATGCACTGTTGCCATTCTTCTTTCTCTTCTTCTTTCAATCAACACAAATTAATACGTAGATTTTTTGTATGAAAAAATAAGCACATAGTAAATATGTTCCTATACTTCCTGTCATAGCCACTGCTCGAGCAAAAATATAATCTTAATTCGATAAAATTTGTCTACCTACTTGTTCTATTGAAAATCACTTTCTAGTCAGATACAATCAGTTGAGCTCCACTCCGAGTTGTTCTTTTGCGTGTTTAATCCACTTCTTCTAAGTTTTGTTGACTTTAATTTCAATTTAATATCTGCAGATTCGCAAAACAAATTTAATCACAGCAGATGATATTCAAAGTACCTTCATTGAGTGTTGCCATAGGTTTAATGTTTATTAATTCTTCAAACATTCGTTTTCATGATTAAATAAACAGATTATGCATTCAACTAAGGATCCATGACTACCGTTGCCCTACCGTAACGTGAAATAGGTAACGCTTAGGGCTAACGCACTTGTTTTCAGCGCAAGTAGTATAAATACACAGTAGCAATAGGATAAAGCCAACTGGCAGAAACGTACGTACTGCATGTAGAAGGCCTGGTGTATGCCGATTGCCGACAGACGGCAGCACGGCGCTGCTGGTGTTCAGCAACCGGCACGAGGTGCGCGCCGTGGAGCTGCCGGCGCTGACGGCGCGCCCGCTCGTCTCCGCGCTCAAGAACACCATCGCGCTGGACTGGCGCCGCGAGCCCGGCGGCGCGCTGCAGCTGTACTGGACCGACGTCGTGGACGACGCCATCTACCGCGGCTCCATCGTCGGCAACGGTGAGTGCGCGCGGCGCGGCGCGGCGCGGCGCGTGCTCGGCCTGACCTGCGTGTGTTGCAGCGCTGAGCGGCATCGAGGCGGTGGTGCGGCAGGGCCTGTCCACGGCCGAGGGGCTGGCGGTGGACTGGGTGGCCGGCAACCTCTACTGGGTCGAGAGCAGTCTGCACCAGATCGAGGTACGCTCTCCGCGATCATTTCGCATGGTCCACACAAACCGGCGACTATCCCTGCATGCACTATGGAAATGCACTCAAGGACAGACCCTGTTTAGTGTAGAACCATTGTGGATAATGGAAAAAAAGGTACCGGCGTGGATGAGTTGCTGTGGACACTCAGACGGAGTGACTTCTGCGATGATGGTAGCCCGCGGGTGTGTCGATGTCCTGCGGGCTTATTTTTATTATAATTGAGGTCGCTAGTATCGTACCGGTGGCAACCTGTTACGCTACGACTCAATCGGTTTTGACAATTATTATTTTTAACATAACATAACATAACATCACGCCTTTTATCCCCGAAGGGGTAGGCAGAGGTGCACATTATGCCACTGTACAATGTAACACCCACTTTTCACTATTTATGTTATGAGTCCCATGTAATAGGGGGTGAGCCTATTGCCATATACCGGGCACAATTCCAGACTCCGTGCTACTACTGAGAATTTTGTAAAATTTTTTTATTATTTTTAACATGTTTAAAAAGAGGAAGTCCTATTGTTTATTCATGGGATATGGTCCGAAGTAAGTGATTCAGACCAAATTCATATTAAATTCTCACGGGAATTCCGGAATGATAAAAACGGTCAGCAATTGGTGCGTACGAAGTGGCCGACAGAAGCCTGCGTTACAGGTGGCGCGGCTGGACGGGCAGTACCGGCGCACGCTGCTGGCGGGCGACATGGACAGCCCGCGCGCCCTGGCGGCCGACCCGCGCGACGGGTACTTGTTCTGGAGCGACTGGGAGCAGGCGGCGCCGCGCATCGAGCGCGCCTCGCTGGCCGGGCGCGCGCGCCGCGTGCTGGTGCGCGCGGACGTGCTGGGCGACGGCGCCTGGCCCAACGGCATCTCGCTGGACTACCGCGCGCGCCGCGTGTACTGGGTGGACGCGCGCTCCGACTCCATCCACTGCGCCGACTACGAGGGCGCCGACCACCGCGTGGTGCTGCGCGCGCACCCCGCGCTGGCGCACCCCTTCGCCGTGGTGGTGTTCGAGGCGCACGTGTACTGGACGGACTGGCGCTCCAACAGCGTGCTGCGCGCCGACAAGTGGCGCGGCGCCAACGTCACCGTGGTGCAGCGCACGCTCACGCAGCCCTTCGACGTCAAGGTGCTGCACGCGCGCCGCCAGCCGGCCGCCGCGCGCAACCCCTGCGCCGCCAACGGGGGCTGCTCGCACCTGTGTCTCATCCACTCGCCCGCGGAGCGCCACTGCGCCTGCCCGCACCTCATGCGGCTGCGGCCCGACGGCGCCACCTGCGAGCGTACGTGTCCGATACGTTACTCCTTCGAGTCGCGAATATATTCAGCACATTTATTTATAGTCAACCGAACTCTTGTATTTTTTATTTTATTTTATTTTATTTATTTTGAAAACCGACAGTGTTACGTATAGTTTACAATAGTTTCCTGATTGCTGATTGCTTTTATTAATTCATTTAATGATGTGTTCTTTAAATGTAGGTTTAGCACAACTGAATAGATCTATTTCGGCAAAGTTATTTATTATTGTGTGTTCGGGCAATGCGAGTCAGTACACAATTTTTTGCATATTTAGTCGAGCGTCGAGGTACATGTATCGTCGGCGTATGGCGAGTGCGTCTTCTGGGAACGTTAAACGTTATCTGCTGGACCAACTCGGGGCAATCCATTACTCTTCGTCTTTCCTCGAGTGTTAGCAGTCCATTCGATCGACAGCTGTCTTCGTAGGACATCGAAGCTTTATGAAGGCGATAATGTGGTTGACAAATATACTTTGAATACGTTCTAATTGTATAATATAAGTGCCGTATTGCGAGGACCATGTCGGGCACGCATATTGCAGGACACTGCGGATATACCTATGCAAAATATACCAATATAATAGTTTCAATGTTTTTAAAATCTTTACAAGACCTAATAACAAATCCCAAATTCTTATAAGCCTTTGTGGCAATGTGATCAATATGATTAGAGAAAGTTAACTTGTCGTCAAACAAGACTCCTAGACCTCGTACTGCCACGGCTTTACTAATAATGATACCATTAAAGTGATAGTCGTAGGTTACAGGGTTTTTCTTTCGTGTATAACAAATATATTGACACTTTGTTACGTTAACAGTTTTGGTTTAAAATGTAATAATCATGCAATCAATTACAAAGGTCTTCCCGAAGCGCACTACAATCATAAATTGACCTTATTTTACAGAACATTTTCTTGTCGTCTGCATACATTAAATGTTCGGAACTCCTAAAGCAGTCAGCAATATCGAACAAATACGCGTTGTAGAAAAGAGGCCCCAAGTGAGAGCCCTGCGGAACCCATTTACAGCCCATGTTGATATGTGTGTCCGGCGCAGCGCACGAGAAGGTGCTGCTGATAGCGCGCGCCGGCGAGATCCGCGGCGTGGACCTGGACGCGCCGCTGGAGCACGTGGTGCCG